GGGACGGGGGAAGAAAAGTAAAGCAGCCGTTAGCTTTGTTTCTTTTCATTGTGACATACCCATATCACAAAAATCTCGGAGTAGCAAACTACCCAGGACAAAGCTAAAATCTTTTGGGGATAGATATAATATCTGTTTGAGGTGATGCAAAAATGATTAATGTAATAAACAAATTACAATGCACATAGCTCTTTGTCTTTATTAATCACCTCAAACAATTAGATTTCTCCTATCTCTTTTGCATGCTGATGAAAATATGAAAGACTTTAGGGTGTGTTTGACTGTTTGGTATAAAGGCAAATGTTTTTCATAGAAAATGTTTTCCTGGAAAATAAGTGATTTTCTTACTTATTTTCTAGTGTTTGGTGAGTTAGCAGAAAATATATAATCTACGCAAACACTGGAGATGGAATGGGTAAGGGACAAAGGAGGAGCGGGGCAGTGGGGGTTCAGGTCGGGGGTCAGGGACGTCGATGTTCTGGGTCAGAGTCGGCTTTAGGGTTCGGGTCGGGGGGTGGGGTTGAAGTCGGGGTTTCATGTAATAGACTTGGAAAATTGACACAAAATTGTAATTGACCAAAGGAATAAAATTCAAATTGGAAGCTTTATTGATTAATTCGAATGGTTACAACATTGATGAGCTCATGCACCTAAAAGAACAAAAATGAAGGTGAGGAAGGATCCAGAAGAAGAGGGAAGAGAGAATTAGGAAATGATTAGAGAGAGAAAGTAGCAAATAATACCGTATTCTAACTAACTCCCCTCTTCCTTTTCCGTTAGTTGTTATAATTGTTGGAAGTCAATCTGGACCGTTCGATGACCTACTCTTCATCTTCTAATCTGGGCCGTTCATCTCGTTTCTTTTATTATTAGCTCCTAACCGTCCACGTGTCCCTCACCTTTACTCAATACCTAATATATCACATATCTTCCACTAACCCTTTTATTCTTTCAGACCAGCCGCCTTCTCTACTCATTTCCTAACATTTCAGACTAGGGTTCAACGTCGGGGTTAGGGTCAGGGTCAGGATCAGGGTTGGGGTTAGGACCGAGGTGGGGGTTTTGGGGGTTGGGGGCGCGAACAAGGTCGGAGTTTGGGGTCGAGGTCGAAATTGGTGGATTAGGATCGGGGTTTAGGGTCAGGTCACGGGTTAGGTGTTGGGGTTGGAACAAGGGTTCGGGGTTGGAGTGTTGGGTTCGGCATTGACCCCAAACCCCGACCCCGACCATTAATTCGAACTTCAACCCTGACCATGAACCCGAACCCCGACCATGGTCCCCGAATCGTGATCATGACCCCAACTCCGAATTCGAAGCCCGACCCTGAACTCAAACTCCGATCCCCGATCCACACTCTGATCCCCGATCTTGACCGCGACCTCCAACTCCCATCCGGACCCCAAACTTCGAACCTGACCCAACCCTCGACCTCGATCCTATATCCTGAACTCGACCTCGAACATTGAACCCAAACCTCGATCCCAACCCCGACCCCGGACCTCGTACCCAACCCTCGAACCTTGATCCTGAATCCCGACCCCAAATCCTGACGTCGAACTCGACCCCTTGAACTTTAGGTCGGGATTCGGGTCCCGAAGTCCGAGGGCCGTCAGGGGAGGGGTGGCGGGATTTGGGGACCGGGGGAAGTATTGAGGGTGGTTGGGGTGAGATCGAGATGCATGGTGGTAGTTCTAGGGTCTGGGGGGCCGGGGTGGCTAGGGTGTCGATTGGGGGGGTGAGGAAAGTTGAAAGAGAGTTTTGGTTCCTCCTCTTGGTAGGGTGTTCATAAGAAAAATATGTTTCAAAACATGATCAACCATAAGTTTGAAGTGTCTAGAAACATTAAATTCTGATTTTCTTGTTTAGAGATGTCAATTCCTATTTCCTTTTCCTTTATGCAGCAATCTTGCAAGTAACTGCTACTCCATCTACCTAATTTAACTTATGTGGAGCTTAAGAATAAAATGCTTAAATTGATTCTTATGTTGAGATTGATGCAGAAGTGTTCAAAAAATTGTCTGAATTATTTAGAAGTGGAATACTTAATTAGAAAAATGTAGATGATTTAATATTTGTTTATGAGTTTAAATTGTTCGACGAAGAAAAAAATTTCATTTTAAGAAATAGGTGAAGTTTTTTGTACCGGAAAAAAGGAAAGTGGGTCAAATTCAATGGAACATGTGAAAATTATTTAATTTCTCCTTTCCTGCTTTGCCTACTACACTCTTTTGTTTCCTACTCTCTTTCTCCTTTTTCTACTTTTCTCCTGCAACTGGACAAGCCCATGTGCTGTCTACCAATTGATCTTAGAAACTGTATATGAGTCTAGTCATTTGGTGCCAAATTACAAGAAATCCCACTTTTACCTTTTCTGATATTCCACTTTTTGTGGAGCATCAATCACTTCGTTTTAAAATGGCTATTAGATGTAGAGATATAATCTTTTTAGATCAAGCAGAAGTAAAAATATCCTCCTAGTGTGAGCTTTAGCTGATTTGCTAGAGGAGGTAGAATCTTTAGTTGATTTGCCATACCACTAGCTTTTTTGTTTTTTATCTTGTGAATATGGTACTGACCTGCCTTAATGTTGTTTTGGTTTTGGTTTTTTAATATATATCTTAGATACTACTACTAAATTTTTGACCGATTCTTAATGAGAAACTACAACAGTTTCTTTAACCTGAGTGATACTGACGATGTCTTGTTGATGTTTGACATAAGAAGTTATTAACTTTGCACATTAATTCATATGAAAGAATTTAAACATGCAGCAAAATCTTACGCCACTAGATGAAGTAATCCAAGACTTCTATAAACCCTTCAGTTGTCTATATATACCAGATGTGGGACTCCACATAACTCTTTTTTTTTTTAATCTCAGTGAGTGGAATACTACATAACCCAACACCCTCCCAGTGTGTAACCTGATTTTGGTTTCACTCATGGACTTTAATGCGTCTTACGAGTGTTAGTATGAGTTTGGTAAAGGTTGGATCTATTCTCATGTGAAATAGCATGAACATCCAACCCACGACACTAAGACGACGAGAAGGAAAAATAAAAAGGAAACTTCATTTTAAATCTTACCATCCCCATGTCAAAATTTTGACAGCATTATGTATGAAACTAGGGCCAAGAAAATCAAGATGATCAAGAAAAATAAGACTGATATTCTTTTGACATCTTACCGTGTTGATACGTATACATAACAGTAACTTAAGCTATCAGCAAGAAGCTTCTTTAGACACTCTAATGTGTACCCTTTTTAATACTTCAGTCTTCTTGATGATTGTGTTACAGCTTTTTGCAAAGTTCAATTAAAGTTTAAGAGTTACAGATGTTGCAATGCTGGAAATAAGGGGTTGAATGGAGTGAGTGATGTATCAATATGATTTTTTTTGTATTAGTAATTCTGGTCTAAGACAACAATCTTGCATGCGCTTGATCAAGAGCTTCAATGAGTTATCGTTCGCTGTATATATATGACCTGACCAACTATGTAGGAGATGCATTGAGGGTGTTACTTGATACAGCTGGAACAATCATCCGTGATTATGATCCAGAAACAGTTGTTTCGTTGACTAAATTTGCTGATCAGTTGCCTTTGGTATTTGGCGAGGTATGTTCTGTCCATTTGATTTGGTTGAAAAATTTGTTGTCTCCCTTACATGTTGTTACAGTTTTGAATGTTATATATGTTGCTAAATCTCTCTCTCTCTTCATGCATTTCAAATTTAAGCAGATTATGGTTTTGGTCTTAGTTATTAATGAGATTGTTGTTTCTTTAGCTTGCTCAAGGGATATCAGAGTTCAAGCCAACACCCTCTGAAAATCTTGAGTGTTTCAAAAACTCATACAACGTCAAGCGTACATTGCTGGTATTCATTCATATTGTGGTTGAAAAGTAGTTTCTAGTAAATGTTAGTTTTGATGGGATAGAACCTTTTCAGGTGAAGTTTGACTCTGATACAATCGATGAGACAGATCGACTTGAAGAGACATTAAAGCCCCGAGTAGAATCTTTTGGTGGAAAAGTAGAGAAAATTGCATTAACCGGTAACCACATCACACCGTGCATTCAGGTAACTTGCACATTGTTGCATGATTTGCTTTATTCACTTGTTTTTATTAGCCATAGAAATATATTAGGATATAGAATATGAAAATTGCTCTTATAGTAACACTTAGTGAACATTGCATTGAACAGAGTGAATTTTTGTTTTGGTGACTACTGACTAGGAACCAAAATGGCGAGTAGGAGCTGTATACACTCCAGCAGATGCTGTTGCGCAAGTGGTTAAAACTGTTGCCTTAAATGACACTAAGGGCCTATGTACAACCATTGTCAACTGGTTCGATCGTATCGACGAGTTCTGAACCTGCTTAAACATGGAACGGAAGCACAATTTTATAGCTCAACGATGTAGAAAAATGCACATATATCATCATAGTAATACAGTTAAACGGACCTCCCCTAGTCGAGTACAACATCACAAAGATAATACACAATATTTCCTTCCCAAAATGAAAACATGCATTCATAGAATTATTTGTGTTCGTTTTGTTGTTTTACTTTTATTTGGGGTAATCTAACATGGCCATAATAAGGTGGCCTCGTTGATTTCCTTTTAATTCCGTCTATGTCAGTTTGCGAAAAACGCTAAATGTCCAAGTCTAGTCCGCCGTCTGCTCTTTGGTGCATGTATTTGTCACCTGTAAGAATTTGTGAATTTATTATTGGAGTTAATTATTTTGTTTAGTGTTATAAAATAAAAGCAATTTAGTAAAACATAAACAAGAAATGGAGATAGAGAGAAGGAAGAAATTTTCTTCTTCAATTGTGTGTATTTTCTTATCTATTACAAGGCCTTTATATAGGCATGAAAAGTGGAAAAAAAAATATGTCATTGAATATGTCATTAAGCATAGAAATATGTCATTAAGCATTTGAGAAGATCATGGAGGAAGAGTAGACATCCACCATAATTTGATTTTTCTTATAACACTCCCCCCTTGGATGTCTATAGATAATGTGTTTCGTTAAAACCTTATTAGGAAAAAATCCTATGGGAAAAAAATCTTTGTGAAGGAAAAAGAGTACACATGTTTAGAAATACGCATTTTGGTTGTCTCGTTAAAAACCTTGCAAGAAAGGAAAACCCAGTGGGACAAAACCTTATAAGGAAAAAAGAGTACAACGTGTATTAACTCATCCCGATGAGAGCATCAATTCACATCCTTGAGCTTTTGCATCCCAATCTTGTACACTAGTTTCTTGAAGGTTAACGTCGGTAGAGATTTGGTGAACAAATCAGCCATATTATCACTTGAACGGATCTGTTGCACATTGATATCACCATTCTTTTGAAGATCATGTGTGAAAAATAACTTTAGTGGAATGTGCTTTGTCCTATCCCCTTTATGAATCCTCCCTTCAATTGGGCTATGCATGCTGCATTGTCTTCATATAAAATTGTGGGTAGTTTGTCATACTTCAAACCACATTTGTCTCGAATATGGTGTATTATAGACCTCAACCATACACATTCTCGACTTGCTTCATGAATAGCAATTATCCCAACATGATTAGATGAAGTAGTCACGATTGATTGCTTAGTCGATCGCCAAGATATGGCAGTGCCTCCATATGTAAACACATAGTCTGTTTGAGATTGAACCTTGTGTGAGTCATATAAATACCTAGCATCGGCATAACCAATGAGATCGGGACTGCAATCATTGTCATAAAATAATCTCATATCGGTAGTCCCTTTAGATACTGCAATATGTGTTTGATTCCATTCCAATGTCTCCTTGTAGGAGCAAAGCTATATCTTGTTAAGACATTAACTGAAAAAGTTATGTCAGACCTTGTAATGTTAGAAAGATACATTAGTGCACTAATTGCACTTTCGGGACCAAGAAGCTCTTCATTATTTTCATGAGGTCGGAATGGATGTGCTTTATCCATATAAAATCGCTTTAAAATTATTTTAGTGTATGCTGAGTGATGGACAAAAATTCCATCTTTCATATACTCAATTTGTAGACCAAAACAAATTTTTGTCTTTCCAAGATCTTTCATTTCAAATTCTTTCTTTAAATAATCTACTGCTTTAGGAAGCTCCCTATGAGTTCCAGTGAAATTTAAATCATCAACATACACGATGATTATAATAAATTTAGATCCAAATCTTTTTATAAAGACACAAGGACAAATTGAATCATTCTTGTACCCTTCTTTCAACAGGTACTCACTCGGGCGATTATAGCACATGCGCCCTGGTTGTTTCAATCCGTATAAGGATTTTTGAAGCTTTATTTAATAAATTTCTTGGAAACCTTAATATACTTCAGAATAATTTAAATCCTTCAATGATTTCCATTCTACGCATATCACCTTTTTTCTTGTATTGCCAGATTAAAACCTGAAATGATGACATCCACCACAAGAGAACATGTCTCTATATAATCAATGCCAGAATATTTACAAATCTTCTTGTGACACGAGTCGTCTTTATGTCTATCGACTTGACCTTTTTTTTTCGCACAAGAACACATTTGTAACTCCACTAGCTTTATACTTTCAGGTGTTGGGACTATCCGTCCAACTTCATATTTTTCAGGTGAAATCAATTTTCATTGCGTATTTTTCATTTGGCCAATCATTTATCTGTCCAAATTTCATGACAGATTTGAGCTCAAGGTCTTCGTCAATATTAATAATATTGAGCGCTACATTATATTGAGATCTCTTTATCTTAATATTTTCAGGTACCTGAGCCTCTCCCATGAGGTCTTATGAAGTGTTATGTCATGGTGCTCTTTTAGAGCACTTGCCTCCTTATTATGACCATCTTGAATATTTGCTCCTCTCCTTTTTCAAGGAATTTTATCTTTGGAACCGATTAGTCTATTATGCTTCATGCATGCCGTAGACTCTATTCATTATGAACTTTATTTTATTTGGAGCATTAGCAGCTGAATATGATATTTATCTTTGGGTCAACAAATACGCCTCGCAATATTTTGCAAATGAATTATCACTTGAACTTCAAGTTCACATTTTCTCGTACGAGGATCTCGATGTACTCATAATAATTCATTACATGTATTACTTTTTCAGCTGCCCATTTTCTTCCCCTATTGTTGGGATCACCAACACATATCCCTAGCCTTAGTTGGGGATCCATCTTTATGCATTGTGATGGAACAATTAAATCATATAGCACATTCATATTTCTAGATAGAAATTATTTGGTTCCTGACCCTGGATCGATTGTGATAGGGAGAACTTATCATAACTTGGCTAGATGCGTACAAATGCTGTTGTATATTAAATAATACATCACACACCAAATTTTATTTTGGCAGTTTTGTTCTCATAACCAATGGTTTAGATATAATTGGAGGCATGCAATTTCTGCTAAACCAACTGTGATTTAAACCAGTATTATCAAGATAAATCATCATAATTTATATTCTGGAACTGTGCTCTAATAATTTGAGCAATCAATCTTGCAAAAGCCAAACTGCAAGTTGATAACAAATGCACATGTGACCATAGAATAGATGCATCTATTGAAATCATATAATAGTAAACGGTCAACATGGAAGGTGACTAAGCCCATATATTTATCACCTTTTATTCGTTCCAGAAATCAAGTGATTCAATCCCAATCTTAACTGGTATATCATGAGAATAAGCAGCACAAGAGAATTCTTGAAAAATCTTATATTTCTACAATATATGCCAATGTAATTCTCATTTAATTTTTTCACATCATAATTGAACCGAGATGGTCAACTGGTCATGCCAACTAATATTTATTTAAGTAAACCTCTAGTTTACATGTGGCTTGTGATTGCATCATCATGCTTATACTTGTGTAGTACAAATAGAATAGAAGAAAAGTCAGGTAACGTTTCATATTTACCCGGTATGATTATAGTAATATAAAGATATTCAATTTTCTTTTCATTTATAGTCTCAACATGCTAACCACTTTGGCTAATATATTTGTAAATCAAAATATTTCTTTTGAGACTTACTACAATATTAATGTCATGAACAATTTCATTCATCCGGGTAGTAACAAATTAGTTCTTTTAGAGCTCTTAACTGCTTTTGTACTACAAGATCTTTTGTCACACCATCCATATAATGAATGTCTCTTTCACAAAGAGAATCATATCATAATAATTGTCATGTTCAAAATCATCATAAGCAAAATAATTTCTTGCTTTAATTTTGCTTTTAATAACTTTCATAAGGCATGCCATTTTTGTTTTTTGGCGTATCACATGTATGCGACCAATGATATATTCATGTAACTACACAGTAATATTCATTATCTTTCTTTATCTCAAACTACCCTTAGAGGTGAGTTGTAGTATTTATCCAATAATGCACAAGTACATTATTATGCATAATCTTTATTACATATATATTTTCACATTCACTTTCAGGAATGAGTATGCAATCTCAATATTTATCACAAGTCACATTCTCTTCAAATAATTTCTCCCTTTTTATAATTATCATTGTGATAACTATTATTATTTTGGTCTTTCGCACACCCACATTCATTGGTCAACCACGTATTTATTTAGACTTATCATGCATTGCTATCACATTCACTTCAAGAATGGAGCAAATCAAGTGGGACAAGCTTCATGATTTTTCATAAAAAATACATTATTTTTTCTTTAGTTATTATTATTATCAATATGGTGCATTAGGACTCAAACTCAATGCCTTACCCATATAAAGGCATGCTAGGACTCGCACTCGAGCCTTTAAAATATTACTTCATAATTATAGGCATAAGTAAATTAACTTTCAAGAAGACATATATAATTATTTCATTCTTGAAACAGTTTCTCTGCAACAAAAATGCTAGTTAGGATATATGCCAATTTTTTTTTAAAAATGATATAATCACTTTTATATTTTAATAAATTAATTAGGAAAAAGGTGCAGATAACCTATAACCACTTATATTTCAAAGACTATAAGAACTTCACAAAAAAAAATTCAATACGGAGGAATGAGCCTTATGTTTCCAGCAAAAATATTTAAGGCTTAATGCATAACCGTGACTATTATAAATTATAACTATAATGAGTTTATATTGATTGTATATTCGAATGCCAAATTTGCAAGGTACTGTAAAATCGCCTACATATTTGATAACTTTAATTTCAATGAAATACATCATGTGATGGTAAAAAATATTATTACTAAATTACCTTAATAATTATCTATCATAGCATGTAAAAGGTCAGAACATATATATACGTTGGAATATTATCTTTTTCCTATAAGAGATGTAGCAAATAAAGACATACCTTTTCAGTTCTTTATTTCACTGGATACAATTAAAAAAAATATTTTAACTAAATACTGCACATAAAGTTAATGCAAAGATATGAAAGTGTGAATGGGTTTAGATGGATGTAAAACTTATCTTTATATTATCATCCAAGACATTTTTCATTGTATTTGATCTCATTATCTACTTATAATTTACATAGTCTTGACGTAAAAGATCATGAAATGAGCAATTCGTGCTGATAACGTGTTATAAAATAAAAGTAATTTAGTAAAACATGAACAAAAAATGGAGATAGAGAGAAGGAAGAGGTTTTCTTCTTCAATTGTGTGTATTTTCTTATCTATTACAAGGCCTTTATATAGGCATGAAAAGTGAAGAAAAATATGTCATTAAGCATTTGAGAAGATCATAG